GCTGGTGAATCTGAAGCAGACTTCAGCTTTGTAAAAAGACAAACATTGAGAGACATTCTACAAGAAACTATTTTGCAAAAAAGTTTCCTGCTGGAGATGCAAGAAACGCAGCTACAGCTGAGCTAAAGCTTAAAGCAGAGCAAAGTAAGGCTGCGTTCTCATTTATATAATATTGTTTAGTCTATACTAGTACATCAGCACATACTGAGACATATTTACAGCCAAGATGGTAAAATGTTGTGGCTCCCAAAGTAGTTTGATTTTTGTTGAAAGGTCAGAATGGCTCTTCTTAATGTTTGGCTTGCCGATCTCCTGACTTGAATCCCATTGAAAATCTATGGAGGATATTAAATTGCAATTCCAACAGAGGGGCCTTCGTAAATCCCCTGGGGAACTGAAGATGGTTTGCGAAGAGGAATGGGCCACAATGCTGCAAAACAGCTAATCTCTTCTTAATGTAGACCTCTCAAAGCTGTAATTGCCAAGAACAGCTGCGTAAGTACTAATATTCATTTGTGATCTCGGAATACTTTTTTCTCTGTCAGCATCTAAATCTATCCATTATATAGCAACATATAGACAGAAATTCTGCATAGTAAGTAGTTCCATTGACTTACAGACTGTACTTTTCTGAATACAATTAATATTATGACACATTTGCTTCCATTGAAGTTTTTGTAGTGAAAGGAATCTCCCATCATTTTCCCCTGTTATGTTTTATTCCTTCACATTTGCTAATTTCTTTATCAGAGGTCTCCAAACACTTTTCAAAGAGGGCCAGACTGGACCATGTCAAAATACCTGAGGGCCAAGCATATGGCATGTATGCATGTTCTTGGTGGTCATCATGAGGCCATCATCTCCAAGGCCATTCTTTTATTGTTGGATTGCTGGATCAGTTAGCACTTACAACAAATGGCTAATTTGTTTCGGACTAAAATCAAAGTGTGACTAATGTTCTAAGAATATTCCTATTCAAGTGTTTACTCATTCAGTGATACTTGTGAGATACACTTAACAAAACTCTATGCATTTTTGGTTTTGTTACATCACATTCTTCACATATCAAATAAATGCAGTAACCTCATTTAGAAATCACTTCATTAAATGAGAAGTGCAGATTAAACAGCATAAATAGCCACATTTTAGAACCACGGTCCAGCAGTTAGCTAGCATTAGCTAACTATAGGTTACATATCGCTGTTGTCGGAAGAAAATCATCTCCAAAATTATAACTTTACAGGAGAAAGAAAAAAACATACTTTACTTTTAATGTAAGTCAATGGAACCAAGTGGTTTTTCCAAGTCAATTTGGGTCGTTTTCGTTTGGTCCATTCATCATGAAATTTACATGCAATGTAAAGAGTAACAGGCATTTTCAAATGATGTCAAACACTGAAAACCACAAAAATGGATTTGCAAGATTTCTTCTGACAGTGGCGATATAAAGTTAGTGCTGAGTGTTAAAATCAAACTCTATGCCTATGATCTACACTTCATAAGATGAAAGCCTGAGCTCCCCAACATTACCTGCAAAATGTGATTTCAAAAATGACCACCAAAAAATGACCAAAAAAAGACCACCAGCTTTTTCTCCATTTTAAACTTTTCTTTAACTTTCAGAGAGCGGTCAAGAAGAGGGAATTGGTCTGTTTTTCTGTGGGAGAACTCACAGGACTGAACCACACTGTTATTACTTTTCCCACAGCACATCTTAACTACTAAAACAAAACTTAAACGTTTGAAACCATGGTGACCAGGGCTTTAAGATATTTCTATATATAAATTTTTGTTGTAACCATGAGAATAAGTTATCCCCACTTTACGGTGGCTGAGAAGACCCAACAAGCTCTGAATATAAAACAAGCTACAAACACGAAAACAGTCGCAAGACACCGTAAATGTTTCCGGAGGACACTCAAAGAGAATGAAGCCATTCAGACTTGCAGCATAAACATTCACCAGTAGAAGGTAGTAAATGTATTGTGTTTAGTGATGGTAATGAGCTGTAGAGTGTAACTATACAATTTCATATAGCAGCACCACGACTGAACATAGTGTAGTACAGATATGACGTGGCTGGCTTCTTAGCTATCTGACAAGCTAACCATGAACTTCCTGGAATGTGTGTCTGTGGCTTATCAATGTCTGTCAGTGCTTTTCCTTCACAGATATCCTGTCTCCTTTGAGAGTCTTCCAGAAACATTTCCAGTGTTGTCTCACTTCAGCTGTGTTATGACTGCCTTTGCAGCATTTCTGAAATTGTGTTTTCTGTAATTGCAGTGCGTTTATAATGCGTTTTTAATCATACCATAAGGTCTTGTCAGCCACCGTACCACTTTAATGATCGTAACGTTCAGAGCTTTAGACAAAATGGATGAATGCAGGTTAAGAGGACAGCCATTTTTTATGTTACACCTCAGTTCTCCCTACTGATCCGGACATTACTATTCCCTCATTAGGCTACTCCACCCACGTCTAGATGGGATACAAAATAAAATATATTTTTGATTTGATTTTTGCCTCTAAATAGGGCCTTAAACGTTCAGCTCACATCTGGCAAAAACACCTTCATGACCCCCATTTGTGACCTTTACTTATACCCCCATTCATATGCCCCCAGTATTCTGCTTTTACATCATTTACAGGAATACAACATGAACTGGGGCAGCCATGCTTCTTTCTGGCTTGGCCTTAACAGTAAAACCACTCTGCTTTAAAAGGACCTACACCAAATCAGAAGGATGTGGGATTAATGGTTAACCTGTTTTTGCCAACGCTGCTCGGAAATCATCTCTAAATTAGCCAATATATCTTCCTTCCTTATGGAACCCTCAGCTGGTGCAGACTCCTATTATGTTCTGCCACTGATCAAAACCTACACAAACAGTAAGATGTTGCCTGGACAGCAGATTACAGTGAGCGCTTTAACCTCATCTTGTGTTAAATGAAAACTCTTGCTCACTGCTCTGTCCGCTCTGATTGCTGGGTCTGCACTTGATGATCTTGGCTGAGTCTCAACATAAGTCTGAATAGTGCTGATTTCAACCCTTTTCAGAGTTAAAGTGCTGAATGGCTTTCTCTGGCAAAGGTCTTTTACTTATAAAGTTGACCACAATTCAAATGATTTTGCTTTTTTAAGTAGAGCCATTGATTTGTAGAGTTGATTACTATCCTAACTTTAAATAAGAGGCCCAGGGAGTGGCCTAATTATGATCTTATGGTTCCCAGTACATCAATGTACCAACTCATAAAAAATTGAATTAATTCTTCATTGAGTAAAGAATTACAATACACTGTGCTTGTTTAGTATCTATTGTTATCTCTCAAACAAACTGATGCTCTGGCATGACACTCCACCCACTAGCATCTAATGTTAACCTAAATGTTTACTACCTAAGATTTTAGAGTTATAAACAAGGCACAAAATGCAGGGAGTCCTTATGATGTTAACTAGAAAAGAGCATTTCCAGGAGAAAAACTGCCAAACCAAACTTGTTGCCATTGAAGCTAGATCAGTGTCACCATGGTGAGTGAGCAGCCAGCCAGCGCTGGATTACCGTGCCAACATGGGACCCCCCAAAATACCAGAGGGTATTTCACACACTGGTTATAAATAAAAAGTATATCATGTTGCAGGTTGTTTGAAAATGGTCACCATGGATGACCTGCGTTATGAATAAGGTGCAGTTGTATGCAAAAGTTTGAACAGCCCCAGTCAAATGACATATTGATTTTCTAATACAACATTTAATATAATATTCCAGTATAACACTTAAATATGGCATTTATCTGGAATTTTTGGTGTATGTATATGTCGCTGTTGTCGGAAGAAAACCTTGTATCCCCAAAATTACAACTTTACAGGAAAAGGACAAAACCTACTTTGCTTTCAATGTAAGTCAATGGAACCAGACTTTTTTCATCCCCAAGTCATTTTGGGTCGTTTCTTTGGGTCCATTTATCATGAGATTTACACACAATGTAAAGGGCAACAGGCATTTTCAAAGTATGTCAAAAACTGAAAAACAACAAAAATTGAGATACGAAGTTCTGTTCCGACAACAGCGATATATCAGTTCACATTCTATGTTTTTTTCCTTTTCTTTTTTCAAAAGTAGTAATTATGCATTAAAATATGAAGAAATCTGTTTCCTGTACACATGTAGTTTGACCAGGGGTACCCAAACTTTACAACTGTAAATACATGTGAGGGCAGTCTACGTAATGTTGATGGAAGCTAACTGGTCCAGTCGCCATGGCTTGCAGTGCTATTGGCCCCTTAATAGCTTGTCTCACGTTTGGCAAAAAACACCTTGATGACCCCCAAGCCCTTTGAAGTACTGTTCCTGTGGACTGATGAGTCGAAGTGGAACTTTCTGGAAGACAGAGGTCCCATTATATCTGTCGTAGAGCTAACACAGCTTTCCACAATAAGAACACGGATGATTTGCTGCGTCAGGACCTGGAATACTCACCATAACTGTCAACACCATGAATTCTGCTGTCTACCTGAAAAAAGACTAATCTTGCTGGAGAATGTGTGGTCATCAGTCCGTGATCTGCAGCTCAACTGCAGTTGGGTTAAGAAACAGAATGAAGGTTTTGGAGCAGCCTAGTCAAGACCCTGTAGAGACACTGTGGCAGGACCTTAAACCTGCATTGTGGCTGATTTAAAGCTATTCTGCTAAGAAGAGTGGGCCAGAATTCCTCCACAGTTATAAGAAGTGTTTGGTTGTAGCTGCTAAAAGTGGCACAACTAATTTTAATTGTGGGGTGATATAGAAAAATTGTTCTCTTTATAAAATAAAACGATCATTTAAAAACTGTCTTGTGTTTCCTCCTGTTCTCCTTACCTTATATTACATTTTGTAAGAGGATCTGAAACCACATGTGACAAATATGCAAAAATAGAGGAACAATTTTTTTACAGCACTGTAATAAGAGTTTCAGAATAGAATATTTAATTTGCTGTGTAAAATGCAAAAACAACTTCCCCATCACTTATTACAAAAAGCCTTTATTCAACATAGATATTTTGCATTTTGAAATCAAAAGCAAGTTTAATTCACTATCCATGCGTAACATCTGTTTTAGCTTTATCACTGCATGCTGGAAATGCATTTTAATCAAAATGCACTCATTTCAGAAAACATTCCTTTTTGTATATGTTTCATTCAAATCATCTAATTTATCTGAATTGCTAAGCGACAAACATCTACAAAGCTTATGAAGAGAGCTGCATTACGTGCAGTAATTTTAAACAAACGATTAATACACAAATGTTGATATATCAAAAACAAATGCATATTCAAAATAAACAAATAAACTATTTGTATGGTCTTCAGAAACCCCCTTCGTCTTTAACTGGCTTTCGTTAAGGTCAAGATGAAGGTGCGTGGTGATGATGATGGATGGTGGTTTAGTGCGAGACCGCAATGACTGTGATGTAAAGCACCAAGTACAGGACGATGAAGACGATTCCAATCCCCAGCGCTGTGTTGTTCAAGATGCGCGCCATCCGTGAGCTCCTCTCAGCCTGAGGTCTGTTGCCGGACATGTTGGCATCTCGAGTCTGAAAGAACAAAGAGAACAGAGAGAACGTCAAACGTGATTTGACTCAGTGAAACTGCTTCTTTAGAACACCTGCAAGAGGTTGCTGGAAACCAAAGGAAGCTCTGACGTCAGAGCTGAGAAAAGCACATCTGTTAAACCTCCCATCAAATGTTCACACATCCAAGTATCAAAGGTGAGAAGCAGCAGAGCAAGAACAGAGCAAAGCATGTTTTCAGCAAATGTCATCAACGTTACAAACCACTGCGTTTACAGTCTTAGAATCTCACAAGATTTTGCATGTTTAGGTTTTGCCTATAAAAACAGTACAGAAATACAGCCAGTATGTTTAAACAAATAGAAAGCAAAGTCATCCCTGAATGACACAAAGCAGTTATAGCACTGTGTCTCTAAAGAACTCTGCCTTTGCATCTTCATGTGTTTGGTCAAAGAGTTCCTAGCAGCGTCCATCATGAGTTCCAAACATTCTCCAATATGATATAAAAATGACCAACTCTTGCTCTGTAAGTTTTCTTAGCTGTACCCAGGGTTTTTTAGAATTATCATGCCCCTAAAGTTTACATTTTGTACTAAAACGGGTGCAAATTAGTAGAAAATGTTTACAGAACAGCTTGGCAGATGAACTGATAAAGAATTATGGCCTATCTTGGCTGTAGCCAAAAGCTAAACCCTTTGTACATAGCTCTGTGTTCAGCTGTACTGTGTACTGTTGGTGGCTAATTTGCATCTTTTCAATTTGCAAGCTATTCTCTATTAAAGTCAGGTGGATTATACCTTCCCTGAAATATTACATCTTTTTAAAATCCCCTCTTTGGTCATCTACCACTCTGATACTTCTCCAAGTGTTACAAACATTCTGTGTTCACATTCACAGATTGTGGCGAATCTGAGAACTTCAAGAAACATGCACCATAAACAAGCACATTTATCCTACATATTTCTCATATCTTTCTGTTTTCCTGCGACGTTTGTGTCGTTTTATGCAGGGCTTAATTTGGCACTTTGTTCACATATTAAACACATAATATTTTCTGCAAGCTACTTAATATACATATAACAACTAAAAACACCTCGTGCCATGGCACGCATTCACTATCACTTTCAACCCCTGTTAGAGTGTGTTTGGAGACAGAAACAGTAATAAAATTGCCACTGACGCTATTTATCACTCGCAAGTGCATCTCTACTGCTGTGACTGTTCATTTCTCAAAAGCACTCAGCAACGCTGAGCTAAACCACTGGCTTGTGACTTCAGCTTAACAGCTACCCATGCTTTAGCAGCTGTTTAGTAATGGGAAACTCATCTGTGAGGTAACGTTTGAGGCCTAAGAGCACATTCACTAAGGCTGGTACATTGAACACGACACGAAGAATCAACACAGCAATGACTTCCAATTTTGCTCCTCACAAAAAGGCCGTATGGCTTCTTTTTATTTCGGAAAAGTGAAAAGAGAGTAAAGAGTCTCATTTAGGAGCTGAAACTTTGAGTGTTTTCACGCACAGCATGGTTGTGACTCAGTTTGAGCTGCTTTTGGAGACGCAGCTCCATACATGATGAAACAGAAGGCAAACCAGTCATTTACAAACTAGTAATTTTTGTAGGACATCCAGGCTACAAAAGAGCTTCGTCCCACAAGCCATCACTCTCTTGAACAGTTAAAATATTACACAAAAACAATATTCCAGCTTCAAACTGCACTTCATAAATACTGGTAAATAGTACCTAATTCAACTCCATCCTCTGGAACTGCCGCCTCAAACCAGCGTTTATTCTAGAATCTTACTTATCTGCCTTATTACCCCACTTATCGGACTGTTACCTCACTGATTCCTTTCTCTGCCACTACACACCCTTTAACTGCTGCTGCACTCAGCACTTTAACGTTAGACCCATACTTTGCACAATGTAAGGTTTACAGGTATGACTGTGTGTGTGTGTGTGTGTGTGTGTTTGAGTGAGTGAGTGATGTTAGGAATGCATGTTTTATTTTATTTTATTTTGTTATATTTTATATTCATTTTATTTTATTCACTACATGTAAATGTCTGTCTGGTACTGTGCACTGTGAGCTCCTGTAACCAAAACCAAATTCCTTGAATTTGGCAGGTGCTGGGATACAATCAGTCGTCTTGACCGCCGCCATACCAAAACCAGAGTTTTGGACATGACCACCTACTGACCTGCCGCATCAGTGACTATTCAGTGATATGAGACCTCATCAGTTATAAATTAAGCCTTGGTTATGGTCATCATTCCTTTTTACATGACCATTTTCCAACCTCTCTTTATGCCTGGTTACTGTACCTTTAAGACTGACATATGTAAATGACCTCTCTTCCAATTGGCAGCGTGTGCCTTATTCAAAAGCAGTCCAGGCTGAAACACTAACCGCTGTAGGCTGAATAGGTCTCTATAAATACATCCATAAATAAATGTGTACATGGATGTGTTATCTCACAAAAGCAGCTTAGTTTCCATATATGGACTGTATGGTCTGGGTAGCGAACAGTCTGTTTTGACAACGTTTACATACCACACCACAACTCTTATTTCAAAGAAATTTGGTTTTCCATCAAACGGGTCCATCAAATATAAATGTCAACAAATAACAAACAAGCAAACAGGACCAAAAACAAAACGTTTGAAAAGAGAACTGCTAGCTAAGAGAGGACGTTTGCTTTAAATGTAGAGACGAGCCAGTTTAAGGCACTGAGATGTCGTATTCCGCTGACATTCTGCTCGGCTATATGCAAACAAATTCTAACACGTAGGCTTTTGTTGCTGCTCACTCTTGCCTGTTAAGGGTTAGGCTCCAGTGAGCAGCTGGCAGCTAACCATCACTGCGATATTTGATGACTGAGACAGGTCCACAATACTACTGTTTACATAAAGGCGTTGTTGGATTAACACAGGAGTTCAAGGTTTCGGTCCTAGAGAACCAGATGTTTAGCATTCATGTCACTTAACACAGCTGATTCAACTCGTCAGCTCCTAATCAAGGCCTTAAAGTGCTAAACTTGGCAAAGATGAAAACATCTCCAAGCCCTGTGGCCCTCGAGAACCTGTGTTTGACACACGTCCATCAGGACTTACCTGTTTATTATCTGTTATCTGTTAGATAATGATATTTATTACCTGTCAGAGAGTAAACATCTAAAGTCCTCTTGGGATCTACAAACTGTTTAAAGCAGCAAAACTGCACAACAAGGTTTTCAGTACACAAAGTAATTTTAGTCCTACATAGCAATGGCAAACTATGGCTACTAAGTCTAAATCACACTGCACATTTGCAATTTGCGTCGTGTGAAATGGACTTAGGCAGGTCCAGAAGATGGACAAAAGCTAGCTAGCTAACTCACCATATTATACATATTATATATTTGTAGGAGTTTTGTGCTGCACACCAAGTCGTCCCAAAAAATGTAGATAATCAGTGTGGTAGGGTGGTAGTTAAGTGACTTGAGTGCAGTTGTGGCCAAGGAGTTAACATAGCAGTTAGCAAGCTGGCTAACTCGCCAACCATAAACAGTAAAAACACAAAAGTGAACGTAATTACATCAGAAAACTATGAACTCGCCACAGCATGATGCTACACACTGATCTGTAGCAAAAAAATGAAGGTAATCAGCGTGGTTGGTTGGGTGGTAGTTAAGTGACTTGTGTGCAGGTGCAGCCAAGGAGGTAACATAGCAGTTAGCAAGCTGGCTAACATACTAACTGTAAACAGTAAAAACACAAAAGTGAGCACACTTAAATCAGATGACTATACATTTTTTACAGCACAGTGCTACACACTGACGTGTAGCAAAAAGGTGTAGATAACTGCCATGGTTGGCAGCAGTGTGGCAACTTGCGTGCAGCTGCAGATAGCCAAAGAGCTAACACTGCAGTTAGCAAAGTGGCTAACTCATCTAAAACAAACAGTAAAACCGTAAAAGTAAAGGTAATAATACAGTCTCATGGGTGACTGTGGACCATGCAGTCTCTCTTTCAGTGTTTATTTAAAGCCCAGTGGGGAGGAAATGGTAAAAGACTTGTGCAGAGATTGTGGTTTAATTAGGTTTTCCTCCATTTTTGGATCTTCAGTGTTGCTATATGAAGGACAGCCAATTTAGAGGTCAACACAGCCAAAGCAGTAGCACTACTGGTAAAGGACGCAAATTTGTGTTTCACCAAAGCTGCAGATGATTTGTTTGCTCATTGTGGCGAATTCCATTGAAATTAATGTAATTTGGCTTGTAATATTGTCTAAGTGTGACTGGGCCTTTATGCCCCATTTTATCCCCCATTACTTTATGATGTAAAGATAGACTCTGTGTTTGTCAAACAGCAATCAAAAAAACAGCAGAACTGTTAAGGGTTCACCAACTTTTACTGCAGACAGTACCTCTTCATGTAAATCACACCATTAGAAGTATAAGCATGTGTTCTTAACATTTTAGGATAAAACAGACGCTAATACTATTGTTCCAAACACTAACAGGAATGCTGCCATTATTACAGTAAAGGTATCACCATGATCATAACATCATTTACAAAAAACAACGTGAAAACGACTTCTTCCATGTTCGCATATTTGACACACTAACTGGTTTTACTTTTATTTTACTTCACTTTAATTTAACCACATTGTTGTTTTCTTGCATAAATCAACTGTGCTTAAACTTCAGATCACAGACTCATGACTAGACATTCTGCTGCAAGATTTTCTGGTGGACAGCACACTTCATAGTTCAATCAATTATGGCAAGTCGCCCAGGCCCTACAGCAGCAAAGCCCACGTACATCATTACACTACCACCACCATGTTTTGCAGCTAGTGCAATGCTGTTTTAGCCTTACGTTTTCACGACACTGTACATGGCTGCATGCCAGAGTCAGGTGCACCATTTCATAGCCAATTTGGTTATGAAGCACAAAACTTTTTTTTTAACATTGTAAATGCAGCAATACAGCTCAATCAAGAAACATGAAAAAAAACAACTCTAAAGCCCCATTTG